GAAACATTATTCTGTCTGAGGAGTAGATATTTCCTGTGTTTTCTCTTCTGTTATTTTCTTACTTTAATCTTAAGGGCATCTTTTTAGGCAGAGGAAGAGGCTCAGGAACCATGAAGAACAAAAAAAAATAGGATTCCACTGCAACAAAATATTGCATCTATTTCTTTTATTTTAGGCTATTCCTGGTTTTGGACATTCACAAACAGATGTAGATATATGCGGAGATTTATTTAGTGATAATGTCGCTAAGATAGCAAGATAATATGTGCTCAGGTTTTTAATAAAACTATGAAGAAACAGCATAGGTTTATCTCTATAATCTTTCTTCTTTTTCCAATGAAATTGAAAATACAGCCTACAGCTTCTAAATAAGATCAACCTCTTGAAAAATTGCTGGCAAGACTATGGGAATATGCACACAGACACTGCAGAACATTTCGGGAAAAAAATAAAGCATCTATCTATCTACTGCAATAGATTTAAGGACAAAAGAGTTCTGTTTGTCCACAAAAAGGGCCAAACATATCCCAGAAATCAAATCATATTCTGTGGGTAAGTCTATTTAGGTAGACTGTTTTAGATCATAGTTTATTTAGTTCATACATTTAAAAGTAAATAAGAGACTTTACTATCACGCTTAAAGAACAAAAGAAAACATTTCCTTCACTTTGAATTTGGATTGCAAAAGGTCCTCTTTCCTATGTTCTTTTACTATGGATCAGGGCAGTATGTATTCTTGTCTTAAAAGTAACAGAAGATAAAACCAGTGTGGAAAGAAGACATATATCTGTATCTTAACAGAAGATACTTGTGTATCTTAATTTGTAGCTCACATTCGGTGAAATACTGATGTTAAAAACAAAGCCTTCCATCTAGCCACTCTGGTATTTGAAGTGTTGGGAAAAAATAAAATCAGGATAAAATCTACTTTCAGTGTACAGGACTTCATTTAGGATTCATGTTTTCCTGCACAAATGAAGATGAAGATACAAAGCTACCTCTTACCTTTAGAAAAGCTCAGCCATCCTACATGGAGTTGCACGCTAGGGACATGAGTGTCCTTGAGGAAATGACAGGGGCTTTGGTGGATGAATGTGATCCAGGTACAGTGCTCCACAACCCCTTTATTGAAGCAGTGGGGTATCACAGGAACCACAGTCGGCTCAGGGCATAGAAAGACATTGGAGGATTCAGTGGCCGTTTTGCAGACATGAAAGCAGTATTTCTTCCCTGCAGATATCGCTGAGTCCCCAGAATGTCTGAGGCGATTAACTGTGGTGAGAACATCCCTAGCTAAACTGAAGCACAGGACTGTACCCGCACTTCTCATCTATACCTGCCATTTTTAGTACTTCAAACAAGGTCTCGCGCTAATAAAAAATCATAAAAAAATGCTTTTGTTTCATGTTCTGGAAATGTCTTCATTTGACACATTTCTTTTTAATTTTCTTTGTACAGAGAACTGGAAATTAGTCCTCCCTCTATTCCTGGTCATCCTCCCAATGAACTCTACATATTAACACAAGAAGTTGTGTGACCAGCAGTTTTTAAGTAAAGATGTATAAATTTGACTTTTGCTACCAGTTGCTGATGATCGTGGATTACATGGACTACTTCTTTGGTCAGGAAGCTCTGTACAATTAAATCCAGTATACAAAAAAGAAAAAAAAGAAAAGCTAACGTCACCACTCCAAGTCTTCCTTTCCTAAATCCTAAGAAAACAAAACGTATTTGCTCTATTATTCTGCAGTGTACGTTCATGCTTTCTAACTGTATATGCCATCCTATATCTTCATAACTCTTCAAATCTTTCATCCTATCTCATAACTCTTCAAACCATAGATATCAGTTAAATACTTAAACAATAGTGCCCCCCCAAAAAAAAATTGTATTCAAGGACAGTATAAGACTTACTGAAAAAGGACATTGCCTGAATTCCTCTGGTAAAGCCATCTGGAAAAAAAGTAGGCTTTTTAACTGAGTTCACTCATTTGACTGCTTGGCTTATCTACAATGGACTCTGTCTTCCCGGTGCAGTAATCTTACTTAAAGTGTTTATCCTATAAATACCGGTTTCCAGTTATTTAACTGCAGAAAACAGTAGAAAAGCTCAAATGTGCACATTACGTCTTTTCCAGCTAAAATGTGCACATTATGTCTTTTTTTCACTTAAACTGTGAATTTACTTCATTCAGTTTCTTGAATGTTGCATATTTTTTCAGCCTAGTAAGCCTTTTCTTTATAGCTTATTTACTTAGTCACTTACTTAAAGGCTTACTACTTCCAAAAGTTCCATTTACCGTCCTTCAACTGCAGTTTAAAAGTTCCTCATTGTCTCCTCAGCTTCTTGGAAAGAAAATAAGTACAGCATATTTCAAGATTTGTGATATCTGGTGCAGGATGAATGATATTGATGAGAAAGAGAGACAATCTAGAAGTACCAGCATGATAAATTCAACAAAAATAGATTCTACCTTTTATAGAAATATTTTACTAGTGTTGGATTGCAAGATACTGTGGAACCAGATTAATTAATACCATCCCCTACCTATACTACATTATTACATGCCTCTAGGTTGCTTGATTAGAAACCTGAATTTTTTCCTAAGATCTTTCTTATTTAGGGATTCTCTTCCTTTCACTTGAAAGGCTACATTTTTGAGCAATACTTTCTTATGATTTACACTTTGTTCTGTGGCCACTGAAGCAGACCTAGCAAAATGTCTGAATCACAGTAAAATGTGGCTCTTTATAGCTGAATATAATAAATACCTAAGGAAATATGCAGATATTTTCAAACAGCTAAAACATATAAGCAATTCTGCTCTGTGCAGAGGAACATGGAAGAAAATCTAAATATACAGCTGTGTTAATCTGAGACTCATTTAAAACCTTGCTTGGGGTTAAAATCTAGGCTAATGATATGATCACATAGTGTTGGATATTGTGTTCATAGGAATAGCTCGTGTCTTCTGGAATTGGCAATTGTTCCTAAGAACTTGGTTGGTCAGATCGCTTTGGAAATGCAGGTACATACATCTTTAAGAGTTCAGAAGGCTCTAAGAAAACTCACCGCGAATTATGTTGGCACATACTGCATAGCCCGTTCTTCTCCACGCTGTGATGACGTCCATGTCTATCAATGCTCTTATTTTGTTCCCATCAACTAATTCACTTTGCACTTAAAAAATGTTATCTCTGCTTCCCCCATTAACTTCATCTGATTTTTCTTAACTTTTTAATACAACTCTATATCCTCCTTCAGCCCTTGTACAGTTTAAACAGAAAAATGATTGTGATCTGGCTTAAGACAATGCAGGATCTGTTCTAGGTCTATTTAAAATATTTTTCCTTTTCTTTGCCAAAGCCAATCAAGTAATGACTGAAACACGTGCTATACTGAAGTGCAGGTATTTTAGCTCTCTCTTCCATTTTACTTTTACTCCATTTAAACTTCTCCTTGATCTCTCATCAACCTCTCAGAGTCCTCTACAGCTTAAATTGCTACTGTGGTTGTGCAGTATGAAGAAAGGAAACAAAAAAATCTTTGTGTGTATTACTAAAAAAGATTTAAGAATAACAAAATAAAATGTCAAAAGAAAATGTTCAATAAAAGCAAGCATACGGAATGGGATTTTGACAATGTTTTACAAAATCTAATATTTTATTTTATGTATCTCTCAGAAATTGCTATATACTGGGTTTCCTTGAGTTATCATGGAAATTTCCTTGAGTAGGTGAGAGGGTCATATTTGGGCAAGAACTAGATGCATTAACAAATTCTTGGAAATAATCAAATTGATTTATCAGTTCAATCTTTTTCAAAGGTGATTATTATAACCTTAATTCTTTTTTTTTTTAAGTTATTAACTACTACAAAATTCAGACATTCCCTATTTCACTAATACCAGAACTGACACAGAGAAGTCCACCAAGGTCTTGCTGAAAATCTACGAGCTGACATGAGCTGACTTTTCTTGTTTATGGCTCTTACACTGTGCTAGAGAACATGCAAAATGACGTTAAGGATCTGTCTGACCTTGCCTTTCCTTTTAAGTCCTTGCTGTAGTTTCAGAGGAATGCAGAGGAGTCAGCAGGGGGGCACGGAGGCATCCCACAGATGATTGTAACAGAAAAGTGGCGTGATCCAGGGCATAATTTCCTTTATGACGTGGCTTGAACTAGGCAAAGCTGATAATCACTTTTCCAGTTTTACTTACAGAAGAGAGTAATTACTTGCATTGTAAGCATTAAGATATAAGGACTCCTAAAATAATTTCTACATCTCACAAAGTTGTTTTAAAGGCTTGCAGACGTAATTAGAGCAAACAAAGCTACTGAATGCACTTGGATGAAGGTGTTATGAACTATATCTTTAATACAAATACACAGGTTGATAGTGGCTCAAACTCAGACACAATAAACTACATAAAATCTAGTATATCAGTAGGGTGAAAAATCTACATTCTAGGCATTCAGACTTGTGTTTCTTCTGCTTCTGGCTAATGTTTAGACTATGAAGTACTTGCCTCCCATTGGATACACTTTTTGCTTAATATTTAGTTCTGTTGAAATAACTGATGTTGAAATATATGTTTTAAGGGGTAAAATACAAATAGAGTACCTGAGTTAAAATATTGCAGTTCATATCATCAAAATTTCATGAGTTAACACTTCCTTTGGCTTTGTTCTTGTGAAAAAGCAGCCCCTTGTACTATATTCCCTTTGCTTAATTGTTAACAGTTTCCCTGGAGATTGTTGGTGACATTTACCTTATCTATCTAACATACTTTCCATGAACACTTCTGTTTGCTTTTGGAGATGGGAGAACTATCAACCCACCAGAGACCATAAAAGGAGGAAATCAATGGAACTCCAGCCTTTTAGCTCCTGCTGCTGTGATCATTAATCACTTTTCTTAAGACTATGAGGAAAAAAAAATTCATTCTGAAATTAATTTCAGTAGTGAATGTTAAATAGGCATTAAGGAATGCACTTACTTCTCTCTGTTGAATATGATGAATTCTTTCCTAACGGTTTCCAAGCACTGCTGCAGGTGTACGTTCTTTAAAAAACAGCATGAATAGGTTCATTAAAAATGACAGAAAATCATAGACAAAATCACAACAACAGAAATGATACTGAACAAAACAGCTTATGAATGAATACTATCAAGAGGCATTTTGCAGACTCTTCAAAGGTACACACTGATAGCAGAATCAATCTTTCTTTCTTCTGGGAGATGTGCCCCACAAAGGATTCCTGAGGATTTTTGTATCTGACAGCTCTAAGAAGAATAGTTTGCATGAGCATTCACAATCATTAGGAGTAGCAACAGAAGCTGTAAAGCCTCACTGAAATGAAAATTCAGGTCTGGAAAGGGGTTATTTCTTAATCTCCCTGAAAGCTTAGACTGTATATACAATGGGTCTTTCTATGTAGGACACATTAGCAAAGACTGAGAGAGACAGCTTCAAAACGTTTATAAGTAAGGAGTTTGTTCCCTGCATACTTTTCATTTTCAGGACTAGCACTGAATAAACACTCCCTATAACTATCTGCCCATGTGTGGGAAGCATATTTGCCAACTGGCAACAGTTTTTCATACTTTAAAATGAGCATTTGTGAGAATCTTAAAAATGATTATAGCATAAAATGCTGTTACCTTTATGACTGAAATAAATGGTTACTTTTTAACTTGCTTTGGAGATGGTTTATGCAGCTATATACAAAATGACACACAGGGAGACCAAGTCTATTTTCAGAGATGATAAATCTGAACTTAACTGATTAGGTCCATTAGAGAATGTACATGAGAGGCCATTGACTGAAGCTACAGTCCCCATCTTACCAGCGGGCAGCCTTCTTTAGCTCCATCTTTCGATTTGTTTTTGGCAAGTCGTTTTTTCTTTTTATGGAGAGGTTTTGACTCTAAAATCATTTCTTCTAGTTCAAATGTTGGATCACAGTTCAGTCTTCCTTTCTGGTACAAAAGGAGGTAAAGTTATTCTTTGAAGCATTATTGTATTTTTTGGTTTGTGCAATCAGTGTTAATAGCATTAATAATCATCCAGCTTCCCACCCCCAACTGCAAAATGAAAATAGTCTGTTTTGGGCCTGGAGTAATTACTGAAGTTTAAATAAAGGAGGAAATATAACAATCAGGAAAAGAGGAAGGAGTTAGTTTCTCTTCCTAGTTACACACAGATGTACTTCTAGACTGACTCCAATCATGTCACTCCAATCGGAGAGGGAAATCTACCTCAAAGCGTTCATCAAAATATAAATTAGTGTTGTAGAACAGAAACGGTAACCGTAATAGTGCAGGAAGGATGGGAATTGCCTCTAAGACCTTATTGCTAAAATGTGTATACCACCTTGTGTTTCTGAAGAGCTGCAGGTGGGTTCAGGTGCCTGGATATTACCCACGATACCAGAGGAAGGAGTGTCCTGACCTTGGGTTTTGTACATAAACAAGCTCAGACTCATTCCCATGCAGAATATCTTGCTGTATGCTGTGGTGAGAGAAACTGGTGCCAGCACATGGAATTAATTTCTGCATCAGAAATCTTGATCTTGTCCCTATTACACTCAAAGATAAGCCTTACCTACAGCAGAAATGGTTTGCTGGTATGAGTAGGCCAGCAAACTCCCCTACTGAGGAAAGCACCTGCACTGGAACAATAACTATTTTTGCTTGCAAATTCTACTACAGTTCCCCGAACAAAATTGTCCTTATTGGGAAAGGATTATCAGAAAAGGATTTCCTTGTCGGGCATAACAGGATCTAATGGCATGTTGGTCATGAGTGCATTTTTTTTTTCCCATACACTCCATAAACGCAGTTATGCCTACGAATTTTAAGTGCTGGTCAAGTGAGAGTTTTAAATAGGAGCTGAAGTAGTTTCTTTGTGGCTTTCAAAAAACAGTAATAAAGATGATCAAACTGATACTTGTATTTCACTGTTTAAATGACCCAAAGCCATGGAATTATTACATGTTAGCAAGTTACAGGCACCATCTGCACTGTGGAAACGCATGATGGGAATGCTCTTAACAGAGTCCAGGTGCAAAGTAAACCCTGTAGAATTATAACCAATGAAGTTGTTGTTGAGGATCAAGTCCAGGCATCTTCTAATGCCTTTTGGGAGTTTCTGGTGTGACCGCTGTCAGCTATTTGTCACTTTCCTACAGGTTTTCTTACCTGTAAAATTGTAAAAAATGCTGTCAGCTATTTGTCACTTTCCTGATTCAGTTTTCTTACCTGTAAAATTGTAAAAAAGAGATAAAGCCGACTAAACCTATACCACAGAAGTGGTGATGGTCAATTAGTTAATGTCTGTGCAGGGTTTTGGATGTATTAATGTTGCATAAATTTTAAGTAAGAAACATTTAAATGTTGGAAGAAGTTATTTAGTAATTAGAGCTACAGGGATTCACCTATTTCATAGAGTAATAGGAAAAGTCTGCTGAAAAGGAGGAAAGATATTCCCACTTATAGGTATTTCCAATGCTGTAAGCAGTTCAGAACTTGCAACTGGAAAAAAATCGACAAGCATCAAACACTGCTATAGTCTGCTGCAGCATTTCAGGATCTGAAACATACGTTCATCTGACAGAGACATCATTCCCTTTTTTTTTTTAGCGTTATTCATAATTCCTTTCTTACTTATTGATGCTGTGGTGATGCTGAGTATAGCAACCTTGTACTATCTCTACCAATGCGGAATGGTGCATTTTCAAAAATCACGTTGCAAACCCTATGCACGATTTTTCTAACACAGATTTCCATTCAAGTAACTATCTGAAGATGTTAGATTTTTGAGAGCGCCCAGCATCTCAAATTGTGAGGAATAAAGAATGACAAATATTTGTCTTCTTCAATCAGCAGTGCTTATATCTCTATTGAGTAAATTCAAAAAACTGCCTCTATTATCTTTTTCCTATATATTCCTTAAATTACCTAAATGTTCTGGATTCTACATTTTTATGTTGCTTTGTGATGCCTGAACCAAATCTCAAGAGTCTCTGTTTCCTGTATCAGGAAATCATTGTTTAAACAGGGTGACTGGAAATACTATTACTACACGGTCAGTTCCTTCCTTAATTCTTAGTTCCGTTCAGCAGAAAAGTTTACAGGAGGAGAATGTTATGCCTTGGATTTTTTTCATTTTGTTCATATATGTACCATAGCCATCTTATGACAACCTTTGAGATGAACTGTTCCTCTCTTGTTTAGGGGTGAGAACTGAGACATGGCCAGAAAGTCAGTAGAAAAGCTTCAGCTGAACCCGGTACATTTAAAAAAAAATAAGTAACTAGAAGACATCCTAATTACTGGATCAGTGTTTCACTCCTTCTGTAAGGAGGACAACACGTACTCCTCTCGTCTCCTCATACGCTCGGTGCGTTCCCAAAGGTTTACAAACGATCTGAACCGCGCGGCACGTTGCTTCAGGGGAGGGTCTCAGAGGCAGCGTGTTTTCCTCCTGGACTGCTGGAGTTCACGTGCACCACTGTCCTGCCGAGGTGGCAGGACTAAGACAAGCTATGTATAAATCGCAGATATTGTCTAGTAACCAAAGGTACTAAGCAGTAAAACCATGCTAGGAGTCATTTACATAAGTGTAGGTATCCTGCACGGCAATGTTTGATTTGGAGACTGCTGCTTACATGCTGATTCCCTGCAATGTCCAGATACTGAAAGGATAAACAAACCTACAAAATATAGTATATTAAAAAACCTACAAAATACATGTGACTCAAAGCCAGGTATAAAGAAACTAGCTAAACTACAAAGAAACACATACGGTAGTTAAGTAAGAATATGTCTGTGGAATTAAACTACTGAGGGAGAAATTGAGCTATGCTGTTTCCTACCACAGGCCCCTTACATGATGGCAGCTGGTCTTTTAAAAAGGAAAGAACAAGGAGAGGGTAGGCAAGTTTCTGATAGTAATGACAAAAACACCTCAGTTATAAAACCCTCCCCACGTCGCAGGGTATGCCGGCTTCAACTCACCCTCTCACCCAAAGCCTAAAAAACAGGAAATATTTTGCTGTGTGGCCCCAGAGTTAATCAGTGTAGGTTATGCTGGGCTGAGGGAGAAAAAATTCCCTGGAAAATGTCTGGCCAAGCTAGGTCTCCTAAAAGAGCAAAGTAAATGTAAAAAAAAGTGTTATGCTTGAAAAGACGCTCTTTCTCTCATCTTCTCACTTGTTTTCCTAATACACCTCATCAGCTGGGTGGAACAAGCTCTGCAGTATCAGTCTCTGGCCTGAAGTGACTGATAGAGCTTTTAATATGACTTTTAGATTAATCCAAGTGGGTAGAAGTCACTTTTTACTCCCATCCCCATCAGATTTAGCAGGAACTCTAATATACATTGGTTGGGGAGAGCTATCTCCCACGTTATCCCCCTTAATCTAGCTATCCTCCCCACCCCATTTTTTAATTCATGGTTGCATTAAAAAAAGTATAAATAATCCTTAGTCTGTTACAAATTTATTGTTCAGAGAAGAATAATGACACAAAATAACTTCTATGACTTGGCAAACTGTAGAAACATTTTGTCACCACAGTCATTGCTTGTTATTCATGGCCCTCAAATCCATTCAATTTATGGACCATTTTAAATAAATAAGCAAAATGAAAACATCCAGAAAATACTAATAAAACAGAACCACAAAACAGAAACCACCAAATACCCTAACAGAATCTGAATTCACACAAAGGAAATAGGTCAGTCTTCTGAAACAGTATATTTTAGGTAAAAGAGGATCATCACACCTGGATATTAAAAGGTGTTGCAAACGTTATTCAGATGTATAACTTGCAGACTTGTAATGTTCTTGTCTTTCTTTGGCTCAGAGTTAACACTGACAATCATTTGCTCTCACGTAGCTGAAATGCAAGGTCTGGACAGTGTATTTTATTTGAAAGAGAACAAAAAGTGAACCAAGGTTAATTAGTCTTTGTTTTGATGTAATGAAGAGCCAAATTTTCTCTTAGCTATGTGTGAGTACATGAAAGTAGAATTCAAAGCAAAGCTTTTGTTAGGAACAATTCCTGAAGAGCAAAAAATGTGTCTCTTAGTAAACACTTAAAACAACAGTGATAATTAAAGTTGGAATTTGCAAACACAGTTCAGCTGAAATATTCACTTACGTTAGGAACAAAGCCTGGGGTCACAGTTTTCTCTAGAACAGCGTCCCAGTTGACATCAGCAAGGTACGGGGAGTTCTGAACGTCTGCAAGGCTTGAAAGACGGCACTCCGGGTCCTTAGTGAGGAGCTGCGATCAAGACAAGGCATTTTCTAACTGGATGCCACATAAAAGAATAAATGTCTCACAGAAATAAGTTGTGTGACACACAACTTATTGCGAGAAGGTTAGGGACTCATCTAACACCTCCCAGGAGGCCCAATCTTAAAAAATAAAAATAACTTAGCTCATAGGATATTAAGATAATTTAATTGCCACCAGATGGCTGTTTCAGGCTCGAAATACAGAAATGAAATAGCAATAAAAGTGTATTTACAAATACAGAAGGGTCCAAGTGACATGAAACATCACAGTTCAATGCTACCCACCAATTTATATTTAGTTTTTAATTTATTGGAAGATATTATTACACTGAGCATCCAGGCAGCAATTAAAATTAACCACCTCATTGCACCATCTATCAAAAATAGATTGCTCATTGCAGCAAAAGAAATTGATCTTCTATTGCTTTGTTCACACATTTAGAAACACTTCCTGCTCAAACCATCAAGACTGATGAGTTCATGTACCTAGAAGGGGCAGTTAAAACAAATGAACAAATGGGTATGTTAGGAAGAAAGCAAGTTCCAGGGTCAGGATGCATTCTGGGAGAACACCCATCTTGTAGCTACTGACATATAGCATAAGCTGGCTGGACTCTTGTTGTTGCTTCTGTAGCAATATGGGGCAGGGAGAGATACAGCCCTTTTCTAGGCACTCTTGCTGGAAATCTTAGCGGAAATTCAGAGGGCGTAATGGTCCTTTCTTCCCTCTCCCACATCCACTACTCAAGCTGAAGACAATGGGGCAGGGGCCCAGAGTGGAAATCACTCATTCCCAAAGTCCTTTTACTAACATCAACATGCTTTAAAATAAACAGAAACATTAGATTTATGTTTCTTCCAGGCCATTAAAAGTCTATGTATAAGCCTAAGGCTTCTAGAGAGAGAATACAGCATCACCAACATTGAGAAAAGTCTAAAAATGAGCATTTTCTTCTAATCCTTGAAATTTAACCACGTAGTGTGTGAGCTGTGTCCTGCTTATATGAGCCTGCCCAGCTGTTGGAGGGACTGCTGGAACAGGGAGGAAGAGGGGACCGAAGGTGTTGGTGCTTTCTTACCTTTTTCAGTAATGCTGTCATGCCCTTGCACCATGTGGATGAGTAATGAACTCTTTCTATCTTGAACATGTTGAGTATCTCATCAATGGGGGTGGCCGAATGAATTTCATAGGGCCTCTGGGATAAAGTTAAATCAATATCAAGTCAGCAAGAATGGATAAAAGGCTGTAAACAATTCATGTTTGCCTGAGCTCAGCATTGCTTGTCTTGGAAATATTGAAACACTAAAACATAACAACTTTGAACCTAACCCTTCTTTGTGTGTGTGTGCTTCGCTTTGGTTTTAATGAATTAAATTACTTATAGATGCATTTTCTCTTCAAATTTTTCTTTTTATACAAGAAGTATCTGATATAAGTTCAAATTAGACAGATGGAGAATTTTGTTCTTGTGGAATTTTATGTGATATGTGGTTTATTTACTGTTTTGTACTTGTACTAGTAGAAAGGACTTTGATGAAAAGTGACAGAGTGTAGTAGTGCTGGCTTAAGGAAGATTTATTATCTTTAATTTACCAAGTAGTAGAAATTCAAAAATGTTGAGTAGGCATATAAAAAAAATCTATCTAAGAACCAGAGTAAAAAAGTAGTCTCTCTGACTTACAGCTCTTCTCAGTCGTCTTTTCTGAACGCTAAAATTAACTCGTTGTATGGACCTATAGATGACATGGACCTGCTGTGCTGTGTTTGCAGTGCCTGACTTCCATAGGTGAGGAGAAGCCCAAAGCTCTGAAGTGCTTTGCTTGTCAAGAATGCTGTGATCTGTTCTTGATTAAATGTAGCATTTGGAAACAAAAGGATTCCCTATAATTTATGTTCTCATTAATTATTATGAACATATTTCTTAAAGTCAGGGATTTGCAAAGCAAGTTGTTAGAACGATACTCTACATTGACAGAATTTTTCACAGCCTACCGTTCTGCTCAGTTTCATCAGTTGGCTCAGTTAAATTTTTGTTGCCTCTCTAAGCAGTTAGTACAATATTTTAGCTGTTGTCAGTTTGAAATCATAGAGGCACAGGAACAGACAGACTTGTGTCGTGGTGTGCATCATGCAGTTTAATTGCATGGAGCTGGGAAAAAGAGCAACATCCAGTGCAAAGTTTCACAAATCGCTATTTTTTTGTTTGTTGGGTCTCATACTAGCAGCTGGAAAAGGAGATAAATGTGCCTGCAACATGATATAAAATGATTGTGCTACCATGCATAATCTTAGCATCTTAGCACTGGTTGCAACCTGCTGCAGTGGCTACAGCCCTGTTTCCAGCCCTGTATTGTTTTGGCTGTCTGGTGGCACAGAACAAGGCAGCAGCAATAGCTGCAACACGCATGGCCGTAGCCTCCTCTGAGGATAGTTCCAGCTGGTAAGAGCAGAGGTAAATAATAACAAAAATTCAGCACAACAGAAAGCAAATCAATTTTACCCAGCTCCCCTTGAGCTCAGGCAGGTAGTTTCATATGCTACCCAGAACTCGGAGGTGGAAAATGATCTAAATAACCTCACATTTTACCCATTCCTCCTTTTCTTTCTGTGTTCCTCCCTTCCTATAGTCACCGTTCCCTAGCGTAGGTCATGCTCAGGCTGGACAAGGTGGTACCCCGGGAGGTCAGCTCAGTGCTGCTTCCCCTCCTTTCCTTGGGGTGGGCTGCACCCAACTCGCACCCCCCTGCTCCCACGGATGTCTCGTGCCCCCACCGAGCGAAGCACCATGGGCAGCGGAGGAGGCCGGGGCTGCCTGCCTGTGGTGCCAGCTGCCGCCCCGCAGCCGTCTGCATGGGGCTGCTGCAGCAGATGGGGTCCGCCGCTCAGGGGGTGTCGGCAGCAGGTGGGCTCTGCAGCTTGCGGGCGCGACAGGCAGCAGCGCGCCTCGGGTTAACGCGCTTCCTCAACCCACTGCTACGTCCCTTGTCATCACTCCTGCTGGCTTAGGCCTTGTTTAGACTAGAAAAAACTTAGAGCTAAAATTTAGGGAAAAAGTACACATTTTTTTCTAGCCTGTACAAAGGGGTGGGCTGCCAAGCCACCCTCTGGCTTGCTCAGGGGGCAAGAACCACTCACTCCTCTGGAGAATACAAGCAGCTGGCTGGGCTGGCTGGAGCAGGGACAGATGGCAGTGTTTTTATTTAAAAATTGGTTTGATACAGTATCAGCTTTGCTTTGCCCCTAGATGGATAAACTTATTCCGAGAAGACTGCTGATCTTGGCAAACGGATACTACTCTATATAATTTTTCATTTATTAAAGTAACAAGGAATATTTAGTGATTTGTATTGGGAGTTCAGCTTTGCTTGCACAGTCATTCATTACGCTCCTTTCTTGGAGAAATTCATTGGTGAAAAAGATTGATATTAAAACGGCAGTAGGTTCTTTCAATTTATTATATATGCAGCTAGTACAAACTTCTGTGACTAGGGCTGAGTATCTATTTATCACTGCCAGACCTTAACTGTTCAGGTTAAAATACTCCATAGTGGGGGGAATGTCAGCCGAAACACTGGTAATTTTTCAGAACGATGGTAGTAAAAAATTGAGAAGACCTTTTTCTACAAAAAAAAAAAGCATGTCTTTAATACTCCTGTGCTTTGAGAGCAGGGATTGAGATCTAGCATGGGAAAAGTTTTTGTATCAGGAATAGGACTTTTGCCATTCCTGTGGAAATTCCAAATAGTTTGGCCAAACATTAAGACCTTGAAAAATCTCATTTTATGGACTGAAGTAACAATATGCATGCACTCTGCAATTTAGTGTTCCTTCCAAAAATGGGGACAATAATTGTTCTTTATTTTATTTTCCTTTGTCTGTCATTCCACACAAAACTGCGAGATCTTTGTGGGCTGCGTTGTTTTAAGTTAGAAAGTGCCTAGCAGGACAGGGTAGCAGTGCTGTGCTAGTGTGATATAACAATAAGTACTCTTCCCTTAAGTACAGCATACCACAATGCAATAACATCCTTTTCCAAAATAGGAATTAAATGTAAAAACCCCAGCTACTAAAGCTAAATGTCATTACCCCGAAATAGTATTTGAAGTATGATTTTCCATAGAGAATGGAAAAAATTAATCAATCAACTTCAGTCCTTTGGACCAAAATGGAAAAGACTTTTCCGTTATTTTCTGTGAAATTCGACCATGCTTAGGAAGATTTTTCGTAAAGTTTATTCACATAATTGATTAGGTAAGTAATGAAGGCACTGGCAGACAAGCATTTTCGGTAGTTGGGCCAAACATCTTAGGATATTATATTAGCTCTTTTAGGGTATTAGCCAAGAGAATCAAAGATACAATAAAGATTAAAGTTACTTAACTTCTATATAGAAAAATACCGCTGCTTCCAGTTCAGCATCATCAAGCAGCCACCAAAACATTAGGCTTTTTCTTAGCACACGCTAAAAGTCTATGCCCATTTTAGGTAAACTATCATAAAGTAATTGAGAGTGAGGGGGAACTTGCCCTAAAACGTTTTCAACTGGGAAAGGCTCAAGACTGCGTTCCAGACCCAAAGCTCAGCCTTGTTCACTCAAAGTTTATCATGAGCAATATGCTCAGGGGGACACTGCAAACTTTTGGACTTCTGTCAGGCAATGCATTAAATAAAAAACAAAACCTCACATTCTTACCCAGCCCCTCAGTAATTCATACGCTGTAATTCCTAGCGACCACCAGTCTACAGGGTATGAGTATCCTGGGCCTCCATCCATAAAGGCCTGGAACACTTCCGGAGCTAAAACAATAAATGAGATTAAGCAAAGAGTACTATATTAAGGTTAGACTACAGACCATTATTAATACTTGAATTTTAAAAATGAATAAGGATGCCATTAACTGGAATTAAAGGCATTTACAAACACCAGATTTTCAGTACGCAGTTTCAGTGCCTCAGTTCACTGGCAATGAGTGCTTTTGTTCAGCGAGGCTGAAGCGTGCTTTGCTGCGACGGTGGAAGAGCCCAGACGGCGTAACGCTGCAG